AAGACGTGCCGCCTCCTGCTCCTTCTCGCTTACGGGGGGCGGGGCTTGCCTGGGGTGGCGTTGTGAGGCGGTGGCTACCGAGGTGGCCTCGGAGCGTCAGGCCCACTCCCGAGAGGCGATTGGCTGGATTGCTGGGGCCAGAATGGGCCGGGGGCGGGTCCATTTAAAGACCTCAGGACTCCGGCGGTTGTAGTCCGAGCTCCGGGACCAAGCAGGCGCTGGCGAGGCGGGCCGCTCCTCTGCGTCACCAAGCTCATCTCCTGGGGGATGGGGTGGACTGTGTTCCTTTGACGGACTCTTGTGTACCCCCAGCCCCTGGCGGAGTGGATACCATGGCCTCGCCTCAGGGCTCCCGGGCTCCGCTGGAATTCGGGGGACCCCTGGGTAAATGGGGCAGGCGGGGCTGGGGTCAGAGGCTTGGCGAGGACGGGCTGAACTCCGAGATGGGGGAGGATGCAGAATCTGAGAATGGCAGGCTTGGAAGGGTATCCCGAGGCAGAGGGACCTGGGGGGTTGCGGGGGGGGGTTGTCTGGGGAGGGGTCTGCCGAGTGCGGGTCCACAGGGCGGGGGAATGAACGGAGTACCAAAGCAGGGGGAGGATCTTTGGGGGAGCATGGGGGCGGGGACCAAGATGGAAGTCTGGGAAGGGGCTGAGGGCTGCGGACGGGCTATGGAAGGGGGCAGTGGGGACGCTGAGGGGGCCCTGGAGGCAGCGGGGCGCCTGCGGGTGGTCGTGGGCGTGTTGTGGAGCGGACCCCCGACGCGACCGCCGCCCCCCCTTCCCCAGGCGCCGCGGCGCTGATGCTGCTGCTCCCTGCCACCATGTTCCACCTGCTCCTGGTGGCCCGCTCGGGCCCGGCGCGCCTCCTGGGCCTACCCCCCTACCTGCCGGGCCCCGAAGTGCTGTGGAGCCCCCAGATGCTGCTACTGTGGCTCACCTGGCTCGGCCTTCAGGCGGCTCTCTACCTACTGCCGGCGCGCAAGGTGTGGACTCGGCCGCGGGGAGGCGGGCAGAGGGAGCGGGCGCCACTAGAGAGAAGGCAGGCTCACCTCTTACCAGAGCCCCTTTGTGCCTGCAGGTGGCCGAGGGGCTGGAACTGAAGGACAAGAGTCGCCTGCGCTACCCCATTAACGGTGCCTGGGGGATCCCGGCGCCGGAGTTGTGCCGGTGGGGGTGGGGCTCCAGGCCCCGTGGAGATTAGTCCCCCACCCCAAGCTCCGATAGACGCCTATTTTATGCTATGTGCCCAGGCAGGCATCGGGGCTCTCCCTGTCCCTCTCCACGTCCCTTGTCCCTCCACCCCTACCCCGCAGCATTTGCTGCTACTCTGTGCCCCAGAGCGGTGGTTGGAGTGACCCACTGAAAGCCAAGGGCAAAGTCCCTGACTTCCCTGGGCTTTGGACTGTTTATATGTGTTGGGGTGGGGGGTGGCATGGAGGGGGAGAGCAGAGGGGTGGGGGCGCAGCCCCCAAGACTCACTGTGTACTGCGGTTCAGGCTTCCAGGCCCTGGTGCTGACGGCCCTGTTGGTGGGCTTGGCAGTGTCCGTGGGGCTCCCTCTGGGGGCGCTCCCGGAAATGCTCCTGCCCTTGGCGTTTGCGGCTACCCTCACCGCCTTCGTCTTCAGCTTCCTCCTCTTTCTGAAGGCTCTGGTAGCCCCTGCCTCCGCCCTGGCACCTGGGGGGAACTCAGGTGAGAGGGGGCCTGGCAGGGAGCGGATGGGGCCAGGTGGGGGGTGCTTTTGCTTTCATCTTCATCCCCCACTATTCTCCAGGCAATCCCATCTACGACTTTTTCCTGGGACGGGAGCTCAACCCGCGCATCTGTTCCTTTGACTTCAAATATTTCTGTGAACTGCGGCCTGGCCTCATCGGCTGGGTATGCTGGGCGCGACTAAGAGGAGGGGTGGGATGGGTAAGCTGTGCTTAGGCAGGGCAAGGCCAATATCGCGCAGATGTAAGCCCTTATTCATTCATTCCACAAATATTTGTTGGGTCCACTGTGTGCCCTGGGCACCGCTCTAGATACAAGGAGACACAGGAGAAAAAGTTACAGGAAAGCAAGAAAAACAAAAATCTCTGTCCTCATGGAGCCTACATTCTATTGGGAAAGGCAGACAAGACCCAAGTAAAAAATATATAGCATGGCTAGGGAGAAAAGACATGGAGGGAGTTAGGTGAGCAGATGCAACTTTAAATAAAGTGGTCAAGCTCAAAATCTATTTTGAGGACAGGAGAGGGTGACGCTATGCTCTCCGCAGGTCCAAGTTGGTGCCCAGCTTAATACCGGTCATTGGGGGCAGCAACCTGTTCCTCATTGGTGGCCTTGATGACATGCCAACTGTGGTTTTTGGTTATAATCCCCCATGCTGGGCTGTGGTCAGGATTTCTCAAAGGATCTCTCAGGCAAGAGGGGAGAGGAGTGCCAAGTGTCTGTCATGGACCCGGACCCTGGCCTCTGAGACCATTTCCTTGTGTGTGAAATGGAATAAAGTCAGAGAACTTCCTGCTAAGGTTCTTGTGAGGATTAGAAGTGGGAACATTAATGATACCACCAAACCCAGTGATACCAGAATGGGGTGCTCAGCCCAGGCTGGCTGCCAGCTAGCCGTTATTGTTCACTATGTGCCAGAATCATCGTGCTTCGCGCGTCCATGCTCTAGGTCAACTGGTCCTCAGCTCCATAAGGCAGGTCCATGATTATCTCCATTTCCCACATAGGGTGGGGGAAAGGAGGCTTTGGAGAGGGTAAGCAGCTTGCCTAAGTAGCAAAGCTGAGATTCAAAACCAGGTCTGTTTTAAAGATTTTGTGTTTTTTAAATGTTTTTTTTTTGGGGGGGGGCAGAGAGAGAGAGAGAGAGAGAGGGAGGGAGAGAGAATCCCAAGCAGGCCCCATGCTGTCAGCAGAGCCTGACATGGGGCTTGAGCTCACGAACTGTGAGATCATGACCTGAGCGAAAATCAAGAGTCACACGCTTAACCGACAGAGCCACCCAGGTGTCCCAAAACCAGGTCTGTTTTAATCTTTCTCCCAAAAGGAATATTATAGGACAAGGCAAGAGTCAGTCAACAGGCAGGGAGCACTTCTGGAAGCATCTATTGCAGTTTTTGCCCCTGGGTATAGGGCCTGGATCCATTCAACGAAGGGCTGAGGACTTAGTGACTGAGAGCGGAGAGCTATAAGGGGAAAGGCTGGCTTCTGCCCCATGTAGGTACTACCACCTCTGTAGAGACGGGCTGGGGACACACTGCCCTGTTGTCCTTCCGCCACCACCCCAGGTCCTCATCAACCTGGCCCTGCTGATGCAGGAAGCAGAGCTTCGGGGGAGTCCCTCCCTGGCCATGTGGCTGGTCAACGGCTTCCAGCTACTCTACGTGGGTGACGCTCTCTGGCATGAGGTGAGGCTGGCCTGGGCGAAGAGGCAGGGAGGGCATTTGAGGAACTTATGGGGACTAAGCCAGTGCGTCTGGGTCCCATCCCTGCAGGAGGCTGTTCTCACCACCATGGACATCACGCACGACGGGTTTGGCTTCATGCTGGCCTTTGGGGACCTAGCGTGGGTGCCCTTCACTTACAGCCTGCAGGCCCAGTTCCTGCTGCACCACCCGCAGCCCCTGGGGCTGCCCATGGCCTCAGTCATCTGCCTCATCAACGGTCAGTCTGGAAGGGCCTCCTCCCCCTTCCATTCATTCATGTTACATTTATCCAGCATCTGGTGGGTACTAAGCCTCAGGCACTTCTCTAAAGCAGCGGGGTGGGGAGGACGGGGTCCTAGGTCTCCCCGCCAACTGGGTCTGGGCTGTGGGGGGATGGTCAGGGCCCGGCAGAAGGCTATAACCCCTGACGCTGACCATTTGCTCATGCTTTCCCCCTAGCTGTTGGTTACTACATCTTCCGAGGAGCCAATTCCCAGAAAAACACCTTCCGCAAGAATCCTTCTGACCCCAGAGTGGCTGGTGAGCTGGGTTTCCAGGGAGCCGGGAGTGAAGCAGTACAGCTGGGCTTCCTGCAGTGCCCCCCCCTCCCCACTACCTGTCTTTCCCCCAGGCCTTGAGACCATCCCTACAGCCACGGGGCGACAGCTGCTAGTGTCTGGGTGGTGGGGTCTGGTCCGCCATCCCAACTACCTTGGAGACCTCATCATGGCTCTAGCATGGTCCCTGCCCTGTGGTGAGTGGCTTGGGTGGGCACGGGATGTGGGTGGGGGGCACGCATGGGAGGGGCAGAGATGGTGAACACAGGATGCCCAGGCTGGGTGTGGAAGGGAGAGCAGGGATGCGCCCTAGTGGAGCAAGCAGTCCGGGGGAGGGGGGGGAGGGGGCGGGGATGGGCATGGGGACTCCCTGAGTGGCCAGGAGCAGATGTTCCTCCATCCAACCTAAGCTGTGCCCGCGCCTTGCCGGGGACCCTGGACCTTTCCCCCAAGAGCCCAGATGTCCCTGCGAGCCAGCAGGTGTGGAAATCTTGAACCCGGGGCTGCTGAGGGATCACAGCCTCCCCTTCCCCCACAGGCGTGTCTCACCTGCTGCCCTACTTTTACCTCCTCTACTTCACGGCGCTGCTGGTGCACCGGGAGGCCCGCGATGAGCAGCAGTGCCTGCAGAAATACGGCCGGGCCTGGCACGAGTACTGCCGGCGTGTGCCTTACCGGATCCTGCCCTACGTCTACTGAGCAGCTTTGCGCGTCCCGGGCTGGGGCACATGCGCACCCAGCACCGGGAGCCTGGACCCTCCCCTGCTCTGAGCTCCTAGGGGCAGGGAGGAACAGCCTCAGGGAGGTGCTCTGGAGCCAGGAGAAATGAAGCCAGTGCCCCAAAACAGGAGCGGACGGGGCTGCCCTTCCTCGTAGGATAAACGCCTGGAACCCTTAATCCCACTTCTCTTCCTTCCTGGGACTGGGGTGTTGAAAACTTGGCTGGGTCAGCCCTGATCCGGAGAAGCTGAGAGGTGGTTTGTGGGCCCCAGAGTCGGCGGCTGGGGCGGGGCGGGACAACAGCTGTTACTCAGAAATGGGCGCTGCGAACAGGGCAGCCCGGTCACAGCTTTATTCCCGAGAAAGAGACAGATCCCAGTTCAGCCGGGGAGCTCCTCGATGAGAATTCTTGGAGCGGGTGGCAGGGGGCCGCCCCAAAGGCGCTCCAGCTCCCCAGTGAGGGCTGCCACCTCCTCGGCGGCCACAGCGTGGGCTCTGTGGGCCCTGGCACAGTCCAGAGCCAGGGGCGTGAGCGCCGCCTCGTTTTCATTGGTCCAGGCCAGCAGGAACTGGCACTTCTTCCGCGCCCGGTAGAGGCGATCTCGCTCCTTGGCAGCCACCGCTTGCCTCCGGGCCTGGCCCAGGGTCCGTGCCAGGTGGCCCAGGGCCGCCAGCGTGTAGCCTTTCTGGGCGGCCGGGCCTTCGCCCATCAGGATGCGGGCGACCTCGCGCATGGCACCCCGTGTGCCCAGGGGCCCGGGAGGATGCTCGCCCGCTTCGAGCACCTGGCCTGCGGCTTGCAGGGCTTCCTCGGCCGAGTCGAAGACCTGCTGCGCGCCCAGGGCCCCGGAAACGCCGAGCAGCGTGGCACAGAAGTCGGAGAGCAGGGCGTCGTCGTCGCCGCCGTGGTACAAGGCCAGGGTGTGTGCGTAGGCGAACAGCACGTTGGGCAGCTGGAAGCGCACAAGCGGCGAGGCCAGGCCACGGCTCAGGCTGGCCAGCGTGGGGATCCGAGTGGGCACCGGGGGCGCGCAGGCCTCGGGGGCGTCTCCGAGCGATGGCTCGGCGGCGGCCTCCTTCACGGGTGCCGGTGGCGTCCTCGCGGGGGTGGGCTCTTGCCCTACAGGGTCACCGCACGCGGCGGCGTCCACCTCCTCCAGGAGCGGCGGCCCGGCCCCGCGTCCCCACCACCACGGCCGCCACGGGGGCAGCAGCCGCCCGGCCTCGCCCCGGCTCAGCAGTCGCTCGAAGGCCGCCTTCTCGGCCGGGGCCAGGAGTTCCCAGAGCCCGGAGGGGCCGCCGGATGCCGGGCCAGGCCTGAGGCCTACGTCCTCGGGGTCGTCCTCGGTCTCGCGTTGCTCACGCAGCCGCCGAAGGGCGCTGGCCAGGCGGCTGGGGGAGGCGCTGCGGCCGCGGAGCTCTCCCAGCACCTGGTCCCGGTAGAAGTCTTCGGCGCAGGTGCCGTGCGCCCGGTAGCAGCGCAGCGAGCAGTAGGGCACATTGCAGCGAGGGCAGGTGTAGCGCGCCGGCTGGGCCTCCCCGGCCGGGCAAAATCCACACGGCCCGGCCGGCTCCATGGCAACCGGCGTCCCGCGCGGCTCGCGAACACTCACAGGCTGCTCTGGGCAACTTCCGGCGCTCATCGGTTGCTTCCGCCTCCAAGCGAGGCTAACGGGGCGGAGCCAGAGTTCCCGAGGACTCTCGGCAACTTCCGCCCACACTCGGAAGCCAAGCCCCATCCTTCTATCAAGGAGTGCTCGGGCAGGGGCGGGTCCCGACGCACAGGCCCCGCCCCGAGCGGTGAGAGAGGGTACGAGCTCCGCTGGTACCAGCTCGCCCCCTAGTGGTTCCCTTTTCGGCACCAAAAAGCGTGACCGCGGAAACAACTTTGCAAGGCACCCACTCTAGGCGGCTATTTGCGCCAGGCCCTTGGCGGAGGAGATGCGTCCCCGAGCTGGAAGGGCAGCCATTCTAACTAGGGGGACACTGGCAAATAAAGGGGAGAGTAGAAAAAGGATGAAGTAGAATCTACTTGGCCTAGATTGTGTGTGTGTGTGTGTGTGTGTATTGCAGGCATTTCCCCTCAAAAGCAAATTTTCAGTTATCTGAACTTGATTTCCCCTCCAAACCTATGGTTTATTCAACTTTTTAAAGGGGAGAATCCATACTAGGTGCCAAAATCACATCGGGGTCAGAGACGTGGTCCCTGTCCTAATGGAGCTTAATTTGTGGTAGAGTGTGGGTGATGGCCCACACAAACCATGGCAAGCGCCCTGAAGACTTGACCCATGGCACCCATCAAAGTGAGCTCTGGTTCTTTAGTCCCTCACCTCACATCTAGTCCCTGCCCAGTATGTTGTATTTCTCTCAATATGGATCATTTATTTCCCTATCAAGATCTGGATGGATTTGATGACCTTCCAATCTGCTCATTCTCTACATCCCAACCACCACTGGTCTCAGCCACTGGTCCCTCAACTGATTTCCTTTCTTGCCAGCTGTCCAGAAAAATCAGGCAGATAAAGTACTGCATCACAAGTCAGATCACATCAGGCCCTTGCTTTAAGCCCTGCCCTGTGCTTGGTGACGCTCCATTGCCACTTAACTCAAACCCAAACTCCTGTCCGTGTTGACAAAACCACACAGCTTTGCACACAGTTCTCCTGGCTGGAACTCTGGTCATCTCACCTGACCAGGTTCTGTTTTAGGTGTCACACATCCCGTCTTCAGAGACCTTCCCCAGGATATCGGATCTGTCCACCCCTCACTGCCCCTTTTTCATTACAACACCCTGCTTCCTTTCTTTGAAGCTCTAGCACTTGTAACTAACTAGCTTCTGATTTAAACCCACAAGAATGCAAACTCCTAGCTGGGAGGGGGGCATGTCTTTTTTCTAAAAGATTACTAGGGAGAAAAATAGCCAATATACTTGCATGCTTCCCATGTGGCAAGTGCTGGCCTCAGCCCTTCACATCCTTTATTCATCTCCACAGCAACTCTCAAGAGATGATGGCAGAGATTAAATACCTAGTTTAAGGTCAGGTAGTCAGAATACAAATGAAGCGAGGATGCAGAATGCAGGCAGTCCAAATCTAGATCCCGAGGCCTTTACCTCATGTTATACTGTATTCCAAGAAGGAGCAGATTGTCATCAGGCAATGCTTGCTGTAGAGGCCACTTTTGGGCAATGGAAACCTCAGGTAGAAGGGCCCACAGCAACCACCAGGCTGAATGCAAATAGGCCCATCAGATGGCCCACCTCAAAACATCCAGTCATGGCTGACCAATGAGCTACCTGCAACCTGGCACAGGCATCAAAACAGGAAAATTCCATACGTTCTCCCACCTCCTCAGCTTCCCCCACGCCTGCCTCCTGCCAGTCTCTTCTTTGCTGTCCTGCCCTCCCTCCCCAGCAGTGTATTCAATAAACTTCTCTTTTGTTCTGCGTTGGGTGAATTCTTTACACTGCCTGTCCCAGTCACTGGCCTCCACTCAATTGGGTCCCCGTGCGCTTTCTGAAGTGGGGACAAACCGGACCCTTGCCAAGGACTCCACTAAGGCCACAGCTGGTCCCAACTTCAAGGGCAGGTCAGAATGGCTTTCCCTGGCCGGTCTACTGCTCAAACTCCTCTCCTGCCTCCATAGTCCTCCACCAATTGTTGGCACCTTCTGTTTAAAGCACAAGAACAAAAAAGGATTTGGGGGAATGACCAGGTTATCCGGGGCGGGAAACTCGCCCAACTCTACATCGGAAGAGCTGGCACCTGCGGTTGCTAATGTTCGTGGTAAGCCTCTTCTCGTAGTTGATCACTTTTCCTCCACGCCAGCCAAGGGTCCCTGCCTCTTCCAACTTGACAGTACCAAGAACTAATGAACACACGACCAGCCCTAGGAGCCATGCATCCCCCTGAGGCCCTGCAAGTGAATATAAAACCGTGAGATGACTGGACTAAGTGGCTTTATTGGGGGCAAGCCAGGATTACAACAGACTTAAGAGTTGGCATTGGGGCCCTTCTTCTTTCCAAAGGTGGGCACCACGTTGACAAAGCGCCGGTTGTACTGCATCCGTCGCTTGGCTCGGCCTGTCTTCTTCTTCTTCTTCTCCTGTTTGGCCACCTGGGAAAAGGGAGGAATGATGAGCCCCTGGTTGGCTTCCTCCATGCCTTCCCTCAGTCTTAACTCCAGAGAGAAGGCAGACAGAGGAAAGACCAGAGGTCTTGGCTTAGCTTTCATAGAAGGAAACAAAACAAAACAAAGTTCAAGGAACACCACTAATACTCTCACCTACCTTAGGAGTCTGCCCTCTTACTTTCCCAGCACGGGCCAGCGAACCATGGACTTTACCTGCGGTGGGAAAGGTCAGGAAGAGTTAGGAGAGCGAGAAGACCCCACCCAGTAGAATCCTTTCTCAATTCAAGGCTTCACAGGGTCTGTAAGTCACTGAAAACAGAACTAGGCTCTGGCTCAAGCTCCCACGGACCTCTTAAGAGTTCCTTCTATGGGAGGTAAACAAGAACCGCCCCGGATTGAGGACCATGAACTCCACCTACCACACTCGTTATGAGCTTACAAACAGTTCAAAGGACAATCCTCCCCAGCTCACCTCCAAGCATGCGGCCGGCTACTTCCAGGGTGGTCAGAGCCTCCACTCCACACTGCCCCAGGGTAGCCTCATCCTCTAGGGGCGTGCCCGCCAGGAGCATGACTTGATCCTCCGGAGCGATGCCCTCCAGAGAGGCTACATGAGCCTACGGGGAAAAATAAGACTCATCAGCGTTCCCGTGGGAGGATGAGATTAAAAACAAAGAGGATGGAGCCTAGGAAGCACCAAGCAGCCTCACCTTGATCTGGGCGACCGTCTCCTGGCCGGTCACCTCGAGGGTGTGTAGCTCCTGGGCACGGACAAAGAGCTGCATGTCGGCAACTGAAGAAAGAAAGGCTTATATGAGAAAGAATGCTCTGGGAGACAAGGGTCGGAGGAAGGGTGGCGGGCCGGGACCGATCGCTCTGGGATCGGTGGTCGCGGGATCTCACGTGGGTAAGGCCGAACCTGTCGGGGCGGTCGGGTGGGGACCAGAACCTGACCCTCAGAAGAGCCCTTCTCCTTCTACTTTTCCCGCGTCTTCTGACCTCGCGGCCAACCTGCTGCTAAGCTCTCCGGATCCAGCGAGGGCCCAAAATCTTACCTGAACTACGGCCACCGCAGCCGCGACCGCGAAGATGGAGTCGAGAAAGAGGAAGGAAGAAGGGCGCGCACGTCCTCACCGCCTGCTGCGTGCCACGTCACTGCTGAGCGACGGCGAAGGCCTCTGGTTTTTGTACCGCTCACGGTAGTCCTAGCTCCGCCTCTTTACGCTTTGCGCAGGCGTTCTTTCGGTCCGGGGGGGCGGTGCGCCCAGGAAGGGGCGGGATCAACCTGGTTGCGCGCGCAGAAGGCCGGTGTACGGGAGCGGTTCAAGATGGCAGCGGCCGTATTCCGAGCTTCGCTGAGGGGCTGGAGAACCGGCGTCCAGCCGGGCTGCGGGCTCCGGCGGCTGGTGAGAGCGCTGAGACTGGAGGTGGGGGAAGAGGGTTGCGTGCGGGTCTCGTTGTTATTCTTGTAACCCTGGAGCTCAGATACAAGATTGAGAAGCAAAGTGCAGGGCCTGCGGCGCGCAACGGTGTGAGGGGCTTGGAACCTGATTGGTGGACAGCTCGGGTTAGTCAGAAATGGGAGGGGCTACCCATCCACGCTTGCTGCGTAATTTTAGAAAGGGAAACCGTTTCACAGTGTAGGGGTTGGCCCCAGATCTTTGGCGACACTTAAGAGAACTTGGGGTTCATGATATACAGGCCACTTCATTCTGCTTGTAACCCCCAGGGCTATCAGGATTCCAGGATATTTGTTGGAAGATGGGAGGACAGACTGCGGAGAGTTACCATAGGTGGATTGTTTATTAGTGTCCTAATTTTTCCTTGATGGTAAAAGGGGGTAATAAAATACCTGTGTCATTGTAGGAATTAACTCAAAACAATACCCATAATACATTTATTCCACTGCCTGATCGTGGTTATATGAGGCCAAAACGTTCACATCAGATGATAGTGAGTGGCATTATCAAGATTGCTGAAAGTGCCTCATCCCAGAACTAGAATGTTTAGAGGAAACTTGCTGGGAGCCGCACTGGCCTCGCTGGATGACAGTCACAGCAAGGAAATGGCAGTGTTTGCACAGCTCCTCCCATGAGAAATGAAAACTGGGATCTCCTTCTGCTACTACTGGCTCATGTTGGAAATGAACCTGCTGGTATTGAACAGGCCTCACAATATTCCAGATCAGACTGATATTCCCCACACATATTCCTGATAAGGAAAAGCATATTCCTGCCTTTACGAAAGAGATTTTAGATGAAAGTACTGTGGATGATTGTCAAAAGGCTCTTCCTATGGGCCTTGCAGATCCAAGACTTAGATAATAAAGGGGGTTAAGAACACAGAAGTTACAATCGAACCTGGCTGCCAAGACAAAGAGCCTAATTTAGCGTTAAAAAACAGATAAGGGCAGAACTTAAGGCCTACTTTCCGCAAACACCCTCCCTTACACTGGCGGCTGGGGTGAGGATAGATAAGAGTAGCTAAAACATAACCCAAAAACAAAGGCCGACACATTTAGGGCTTCCATGGTGTTTACACATCCAGCATCAGGTCAAAAAGGTTTCCACAGACAACTTATTAACCAGTTCAAAATGACTCCTAGCCTGTCTTTTTACAAGTTAACCTAATGTCCTAATCCTAGCGTTATTAGAACAAATATGTTTGTCAGCCTGTTTTTCACTAAGAACACCCTGTTATTTCCTTAGTTGTAAGATTTACTCAGCCTCACTATGATTGGGGTAATTCTGCAAGAATACTTCCAAAAAACCAGGTCTTGTACACTTTTCAAAGCATCTTATCACAAAGAGCTTTCCATTGTAAAAATTCCTTTTTCTGATCTCATGTTGTCGTTGGACCTTTAAATAAAGACACCAAACCTAACAGGACAGAGATGCCTGCCTGGTGATCAGAAAGAATCTCGGGGCTCGCTCTCTCTCTTGCCGACACCGTCCATCCTTCAGGGACCCCTGGACGTGCTGGAGCCAGCCTCTGGCAGAAACTTAAAAAAAATTTTTTTTTTATGCTTATTTTTGAGACAGAGAGACTGCGAGCAGGCAAGGGGCAGAGAGCGGGGGAGACACAGAATCCAAAGCGGGCTCAAAGCTCTAGGCTCTGAGCTGTCAGCACAGAACCTGACACAGGGCTCGAACTCACCAACCGCGAAATCATGACCTGAGCCGAAGTTGTACACGCGACCAACCGAGCCACCTAGGCGCCTCTAGAAGAAACTTTAAAATACTGAAAAATGCCGGGGCATCTGGGTGGCTCGGTGGGTTGAGTGTCTGTCTTCGGCTCAGGTCATGATCTCACAGTCAGTGAGTTCGAGCCCCGTGTCCGGCTCTGTGCTGACAGCTCAGAGCCTGGGGCCTGCTTTGGATTCTGTCTCCTCCTCTCTCTGCCCCTCCCCTGCTCAACTCTGTTCTGTCTCTCAAAAATGACTAAAAGTTAAAAGAAAATTTTTAAATACTGAAAAATGCTGTATTGATCTGATTTACAGTAAGTTGGCTTTGGGTCAGGAGTCCCACAGAAATCCCTAGAGAGGCAGGTCCTTCAGAGTGCCTGAACTTCTTTTCAATCCCACGTCTACCCCGGCAAACTGAAGTCTGGTGCTTTCCTACCTCCAGGCTTTTTTTTGTTTATGCCATTCTCTGCACCCGTGTTTCCCTTTTTTTTTTAAATGTTTTATTTATTTATTAAAAATTTTTTTTAATTTATGTTTTTATTTATTTCTGAGAGAGAGAGAGACCCAGAATCTGAAGCAGGCTCCAGGCTCTGAGCTGTCAGCACAGAGCCCGACATGGGGCTCGAACCCACGAACTGTGAGATCATGACCTGAGCTGAAGTCGGACACCCAACCGGCTGAGCCACCCAGGCGCCCCCTGTGTTTCCCTTTCTGCCTACTGAGGTTCTGCGTCTCCTGTGGGGGTGCCTGGGCCAATGGATCAGTGGTGGTTTCCTTTTGGTTTTGGCTGCAGAGCCAGACCCAGGGGCCTCCGGATTACCCCAGCTTTGTGGAGTCTGTGGACGAATACCAGTTTGTGGAGCGCCTGTTACCCCCTAGCAGCATCCCAGAGCCCCCAGAGCATGAACGTTACCCCACTCCTAGTGGCTGGCAGCCACCCAGAGGTGAGCTGGCTGACGGGGAGGGCTTGGAAGCTACCGGAAACCTCTCCTAGTGGTGTTCCTCCCCGGCTGAGGCTCTGGAGTCCCCAGTGGGTTCCGGGCTTGTGTTGAGGTCACTCAGGGCTTAGCACCTGTCTCATGTTCAAGGAAGGGCCTGGGGATGCAGCCCTGTTTTACTAGTGCCCATCCATGCACGCTCCTGGGATGAGGTCTTCCCATTCAGGAAGAGTGACGCAGAGAGAGAAGACCCAAGAGCTGGGACCTCACCACCCCCCCCCCCCCCGACTCCGGTAGGCCTCGTACCATAATTGAGAACAGAGCTTGGGAGTTGGGCAGTTCTAGGTTCGAATTTGGCTCCATTCTTATTGCCAGTGTGATCATTAGTCACATAGTTTCTCAAAATGGAGATAATCTGCTCAGGACTTAACACAGTGCTTAACACAGAGCCCAGCATGTGGTAGGTAGGTGTTCAGTGCTTGCAAATCCCCATTTCTTTGTGCCAGAGCTTGATTTTAGCCTCCCTACCCAGGGGTGAAGTGCAAGGATTGGCCCCAGGTGAGGACCTGGGGAGGCGTGGCCCTGACCTCATCTCTTCTTGAGCACCTTCTCGTGCCAGGCCCTGGGTTGGGCCTGCGAGATTACCGGGTGAACAGTCTGGTCCTGGCTCTAAACCTCGGGAAGGAGCGGGTCTTCGACCTGAGATCTAGAGGTAGATTCTGCGTAGACTATGAGGGGAAGGGTGTTGGCTACGGTGATGTAAAGCCGGGGCAGATTTGACCCCTCGCCGTTCCTCCCTGCCACAGACCCCCCGCCCGACCTGCCCTACTTTGTGCGGCGCTCCCGTATGCACAACATCCCTGTCTACACGGACATCACACACGGCAACCGCCAGATGACTGTGATCCGAAAGGTGGAGGGGGACATTTGGGTAAGTGAGGGGGTTGGTCAGGGTCTGAGTCCAACCCTTTCAGGGCTGAAGGGATGGGAGTCCGCTAGAGGGGATGGTCTGACTGGGCTTGGTTTGTTCTCTTCCCACCCAGGCTCTGCAGAAGGATGTGGAAGATTTCCTGAGTCCACTGCTGGGGAAGACCCCTGTCACCCAGGTCAATGAGGTGACAGGTACCCTGCGGGTCAAGGGCTACTTTGACCAGCAGCTCAAAGCCTGGCTCCTGGAAAAGGGCTTCTGAGGCCCCCCCTGCGCAGCCTGATGGCAGCCCCCGCAACTAGAGTCCGGGGTGGGGATGGGGGGTCTCGGGAGGGAGACAGCTGTAGGAGCAACGAGGACAGCAGGGGTAGGGTAGGGCGAGGCGCGTAGGCAGGTTAACGGGAGGGCTCAGGGCTTCAGAGCAGGCCTTGCTCACATCAAGGGGGGACGAGACCCTGTAAAATTGGGGGAGGGCTGTCTGTCACTGGCCTCTGCCTTCATTGGAGCTCACTGGGCGCAGCTCTTCAAATTCTGGAGGTTGCTGACTGGCCCTCTGGCGGAATAGCCCCACCCAGTTTAGGGGAGGGGAACACCAGGCTGAGCGCGTCCCCCCTTGGCCCCCAGGCCCGGCCCGGCTTGGTGGAGGCTGTGGAGAACACGGTAACTCCGGCATGGGGCCTGGAGGGCTTCAGTTCCAAGTGCAGTACTGGGTGGAGGCACAGAGCCCCCGCGTCAGCCCCTGGCCTCATTCTTTAGCCCCGAGAAGTGGAAGGCCCAGTCGCCTTTGCTCTGTTCTAGGCCAGAGTCGGGCCTGACTGGGTTTCTAGCTCCAGAAAGCTAAGGCGTTAGCTTTAGCCAGTCTGTCCGCGAGGGGGTGCTTGGGAGACCCCAGCGGCCCGGCGCAGAGCGAGCCCGCCTTCCCGGCCCCCCGAGCTGGTGTCGGGCAGCCAGGGGGACCTCGGGAAGGAAGATGCTGGCCTTCTGCCCCTGCTGTCCCATCCTGCTCCGGGCCCGGGCATCGTCACGCTTGCCTCGTCCCTGGAGTTATAAAAGCTTAGCCTCTCGGGGGCTCGGTTTCTTCATCTGGAAAATGGGGTATCGTCCTAATGGTTTAATGGCTTGTCTAAATAAGCCGCCCCCCCCCCCCCCCCCCCCCCCCCAGGGACGCTCAAGTCCTAGCCTGAGCGAGTCGACGACTCCGGCACACCGTCCCGGGATACCAGCTCCACCGTGGTCAATGCAAGTCTTTATTTGGCGGTATATACAGTTTAAGCTATTAAAATTTGTACAATATTTACAAATTAAATAATCATCTGAAACGGTCTCCAGCAACTCTTGTAACACAAAACCGAGGGAAAAAAAGACAAGGGCGGGCAGGCCTCGGCTCCTGTGGTCCCTGCCTGGCCCAGTGCCTTTTCTAAACTGGAAAGACCAGGAGTCTGATGCTCCTGCTCCTCTTTCCTAGGGTCAGCATTCAAGTTCAAAGACAAAATTTAAGCCAAAAGACAACGGCAAGGAATTCCAATTCTTCTAAACTCAAGAAAAGTTCTGTTGAGTTGAGAAGTGGCCTTCCCCACACTCTGCGGCCTGCAGTGGCTCCGGGGCGCACACGGGCCCTCTGCCTACAGCGAGGCCGGGCAGTGGTTGCTGGGCGAAACCGCGAAGTCTCGCTGGAGACAAACCGCCGGGGCGGGGAGAGGGGCGTGGGCACCTGAGTGGCACCTGCCTGCTCCTCGGCCCCCGGGCACTACTCCTGTCCCAGAGCCGTGAAGCTGCCTCTAGGACACGCAACACCACAGGGCATAAGTGACGCAGCCACCGTCAAAAAGAGCTTCGAGAGAGTTCAGGGTGAGAAAAGGGAACTCGGTACCAGTCGTGGTGGGTGGCCCCGGGAGCAAGCTCCTGGCCTGCCTCCAGCCCCTGAAGTTCACACATGGGATTGGGGAGCTAATACTGTTCAGCACTGAAGCGACTTCACACACATACACACACACACACACAAGTGGACTTAGAAGGACTGCCCCTTCTCCCAGAGAGGGGGGCAGAGGGCTTCTCGGAGACTGCCTTTCTGCCTTCACGGCCCCAGCGGAAAAGGGTGAAGGGCTGGAAAGAAAGGTGGGGACTGACCCGAGATCCCTACGGCTGCCCGGGATTGGAAGGGCTGGAGTCAACTGGGGCCTCAGGCTTCCTTCCCCTTGGCCTAGGCGGTGCCACCTCCTTTTGTCTCAGAGCTGGGGGTTCTTGCTCCCTGGTGCACACAGAGAGGGAGCTGGCACTTGGTGGCAGGACACGTTACAGCGAGGGCTGCTCAAGAGTGGAGGCAGGGGAGGCCTGGGGTAGGGTCAGTGGGCAACGGGGGACTCCAGCTTCTGCAGGCGGCGGCGGCGGAGCTCTGCTGCGTCAGGCTCCCCGTCCTCCGGCAGCTCCTCCGTGCCCACGGACTCGGGAGCTGGGGACAGAGTTCGGAAGTGGAACCCACAGAAGTTCCCTCCCGCCCCCGCCCCCCTCCAGGCTCACCGAGACTACCTGGAGGCTTGTCTGGTTCAGGGGCTGGTGGGGAAGCTCCTGGGGATGGGGTGGTGGCCTCAGAGCTGGGGACGCTGGTGGGGGTGGCGGCAGTGACAACTCCAGGGGTCTCCTCAGTGGGGCTGACTGAGGTGGCAGGCCGGGGGGGCCTAGGAGAGAAGAGACGAGACGAGGGATGTGAGGCCTGGAAACCTGGCGTGATTGGGAAGGTTCTGCCCTTGGTGAGCCTTGCAGGGTGGAGTCTGCACACACGCGCCTCCGTGGCCTGAGTCCGCAGCAGACACGAGTGAGCGTGTTCTCGGGATTCCAGGCTACAGGCTGACCAAGGTACGTGCGGGCAGGAACTGCTGGCCTTGCTCACTGGTAAACCATGGCCCCTAGCAGGCTGCCAGGCTCCGCACAGAGTTCCCACCCGGACTTTCCACTGAAGAAAACTGTATTCAGGTCGCTCAGACTCCCAACTCCCCTCCAAGCCTGTGCTCTCACTGCTGTGTGCCAGGCACTGTGCACGGAACCTGTGAACAGGCTTTAGAACCCTTCTATTCTAAAGTGATAGCAGTCACCCAGCAAATGAATGGTGGGGACCACAACTTGAGCTTAGACCAAGCTGGTTCTGAGTGACTTTTTTTTTTTTTAATTTAGTTTTAAGAGAGAGGGAGAGTGAGTGTGTGAGTAGGGGAGAGGCATTCGAAGTGGCTTCTGTGCTGACAGCAGCCAGCCCAGTGCAGGGCTCGAACTCACAAACTGTGAGATCGTGACCTGAGCCGAAGTCGGACGTTTAGCAGGTGGCCCCGGGTGACTTATCTGCGGTCTCAGATCAGGGTCAGTGATTTCCAGGCACGGGGTCCCCATATAGGAGAAAGGTACCCATAATGAATTAAAACGCTGACAATTATATGAGTAATTTGACTACAGAAGAATATAAAGAAGCAAGATTCAAAGTCAGCTCTAACAATCAGCCCTCCTGAGACCCACGCGGGTCCCTGTAGCGAGGAATAGAGGCAGCAAGAAACCCAGAGATGCTGCTATGCCTACAGAGAGGTGACCGGGATCGGCAGGTATCACAGGGTGGCAAAAGAGAAAGGGGCCCAGCTCCCCCCTGCCCCGGGCCCCGGGCGGACGCACCCCAGGGAGGCCAGCACGGTGAGGTACTGGTTGATCTGCAGCATGGCGGCGTCCAGCAGCGTGTGGATGTTGCGCAGGCTCTGCAGCCGGGCCTCCAGGTGCTGCCGCTCGTGGCCTTCCAGAGCCCGCAGCTCCTCCGGAGTCAGCCCGGCGAAGCCAGCGGGGGGCACGGGCATCGGGGGGAAGGCTGCAGGGAGGCGGAGGCTCAGCCGGGGTGGTGGGACTGCCTGGGGTCGGGGGCTGACACCCTCTACCCTCCAGATCGACCCCGAGGGTGGCTCAGGTTACCGAAGGGCAGAGGCAGCGGCATGCCCATCCAGGGTGGAGGGAAGGGGAAGCCCGGAGCGGGGCCGGCCTCAGGGCCGGGGGCAGAGCCAGGTGCCGAGGCGGAGGCGGCGGTGGTGGCAGCTGTGGTCGTGGCTGCTCCGCTGGGCCGAGAAAGGGCTGGTGCGGAGTGAGAACAGGAAGTTGCTGAGTGCTGAGGCCTCTGCTTCCACTCCTCCCACCCTCTGACTGTCGCAGCAGCCGAGAAAGACTCACCCGCACTGGTGGATGGAGGGGCCGCAGCCTCTCCGGAGCTGGGGGGAGGCGGGACAGGTGGAAAGGGGCCCATGGGGGGCCACAGCGGGAACATGCCCGGAGGAAACGGAGGCAGGAGACCCTGGGGGACTGCAGAGAGGACGAGGCAGTGAGGAAACGTGCAAGTGAGACCGCTCCAAATCACATGCGAGAGGCCCACTGTTAGGAACTCTGTCCTGCTCCCTCAGGCCTCTCTGAGCTCAGCACTGATGACCCGTGACTGCAATGCATTGGTGTCTCTTTCTATGACCCCTCTCCTACCCAGACTGAGCTGCTGGAGGACAGGGGCTCTGATTCACCTCCGTGCTTCCCATCCCCAGCTCCGGGCAAGTACTCGACAGTGTGCTGGATGGCCAAATGAGGGGCACTCACAGTTAGGGGGCTGGGGCAGGAGCGGTGCGGGGTGAGGGGCAGGTGGTGGCCCCTGATCCGCAGGCTCAGGGGGCGGAGGTGACTGGGTCGGCAGTGATGCCCGGAGGACGTCCATACGGCAGGTAGGGCAAGTCTGCTGCCGCTGGAACCAGGAGCGCAGGCAGCTGGGGGTCAAGACCAGGTGATGGTCAGAGAGTCCCCACGGGCCGCCTTCCAGGGCCCAGCCCCTGCTGTCGGGCTCGCCGGGCCCCGCCCACCTGGTATGGAAAATGTGGTTGCAGGGCAGCCTCTTGGCACCGGTCACCATCTCCTCCCGGCAGATGATGCAGACATTGTCCATCGCCTGGAGCTCCTCCGGGGTGGCATCGGGATACCTGGTCAGGACAAGGCCAGGGAGAGGTCCAGCCAGGGGTGGGGACAGAGGAACCTGGGGCGGAACTAGGGAGAGCAGGCGGCCCGGCCCACTTACAGCGTGTTCATGTTGCGGATGGCTCGGCGAGACATGATGGCATCTGTCACGGCCTTCTTGAACTGCCTGAAGGGAGAGTTTCAGTGAAAGTTGGGTGAGGGAGGAGAATCAGGTGTGGGCCAGGGGCAGGGGCAGGGCGGGCTGGGCTGAGCTTACCTCATGGCCAGGTACATAGGCCGGATGGCAAAGAGAGGGAAGGTGTGCACCTTGATCATGATAGTCATGAACGCCATGTACAGCAAGACCTTGATGAAGCCTGGGGGGCAAGGGGAGGTGCAGAGAGCAGCAGTCACCGGGCCCGGGAGGCAGGGCCGGGGACACCGGGCCCGGTCAGGGGGAGGCCCGGGCTCTTCTCACCTGTAAACAGCTCCGTGTAGAGCATGTACACGGCCTTGTTGTCCCAGGGGTTCTCGCTCTGCAGGTCCACGGAGTGCAGCACGTACTTGATGAAGATGGTGAGCACCATGGTCATCAGGATGGCGTACTGGCGGGAGGCGGGGGCGGGGTACGTGAGCACACAGCGCCCCCTCGCCCCGGTCACCCTCTGCCGCGCGCAGGCCTCTGCACAGCAGAGTGCAATGACACAAGCGTGGTACTGGACACGGCTGCGGTCTTCCGAGCGCCTCCGCGCACTCGCCGGCGGGACCTCTGGCCGCTCAGCAGACCCCTCTGAACCGCAGAGCTGGCCTGTCTGCCGAGCGACAGAACTAACCGTTCCTTAACGACTGTTGCTTTGCGGATTAAAAGACACAGCTCCGGCGCTTGGCACAGGGTCTAGCGCGCAGTGGGGACGTGAGCTGCTGTCACTCAGCACCTCCCCCACCGTCCACCAAGCCAAGTCCTCCCATCCATCGGCAGCCAGCTCCTCTGGCATCACGTTCCAGGAAGGCCCTCCCCGAGCGCCAGGCCAGGGCTCCCCCTCCACCCAAGCCTCCTTCCGTGCTCCCCCTGCTCTCCTAGGCGTGGGAGGGCCCAAGGCAGGAGGGGAGACGGACCGGTGGCTGCTCCTCGGTGGCCTGCACGGGCCTGGCCACAGAGCAGGTGCTCAGTGAGGGTCTGCCGCGTGATTCCGGGCACGTTCAGTGCTGCCTCAGGCCTGTCCTCCCAGCCTCCCGAGCCAGTTTTACCTCAAAGCCAAACACCAGCTGCACAGAGGCCCCACGGGTCAAGATGCTGTGATAGGCATGGCTGACGAAGAGGAAGTCCAGGGTGCCCAGGAGGAACATGAGGGCTGTGGGACCCCCGAAGGGGGGGCAGGTGGGGTCAGCTCAGGGCCTGACAGCCACTTCCCACTTCGAGACCCCTCCCACCCTCATGCCCACCAGGGCCCTAGCCATCTAGTCAGGAGGCTTGAACCCAGCCCCCTGGGAACCCCAGTTGTGCCTCGGAGGGCACGGGAGCAGCCCAAGCTCCAGGTGAGAAGGCCAAGAGCCGAGGGGCTGGACAGTTGTGAAGCCCTGGAGCGGAACAGGGCACAGAGGATGCAAATTAACCTCCCGAATTATCTTTCCTGTACAGCTGCGGGGGGAGGGGGAAGCCCGTGCCCCAGTGCACGGGTCCACAGTTAGTGACTTATCACGTTCCATCCTCCCTAGCGCCTCTTCCCCCTCCAGCTCCCTCCTCTCCTTTCCCCAAGGGTCTCACTCACAGATGATGCGGCAGTGAAACAGCCAGGAGATGTTGGGGCTGCGCTCCATCTGAGACAGAGCAGAAACGGGGCCCGTTGGGAAGGCCAGGGCTCACCCCACACCCCCAGACCAGCCTTCACGAGCCCACCACCTCCCATCTGCCTTGGAGAACCCCCCCCACCCCCCAACTCACAAAGTCCACACGGTCCTCAGCCAGCCAGTGAAAACACTTGAGGAAGAGAAGGAGAGTGAAGAGTGCAACGAAGCGGGGGCTGAAGTCGTCTCGAAAGACGGTGAAGGCCAGACAAGTCTCAGTGACAGCGTACCAGGAACGTTCCAGAAGGTGCTGGGCGTTGGGCAAAGAAGAGCTCAAGACATTCTGCTTGCCCAACTCCCTGCCCCTCACTTCTGGAGTCATCTTACCTCCATCTCTGCTGCCCTCAGCTGTCCAAAGAACACCTTGCCCATCACTTTGCCCAAGAGAAAGACAAGGACAAAGGCCTGGATGTAGAGGACCTAGAAGTGAGAAGAGGCTATGGTTTGAGGTCACTTTCTGCTCTGCTATGTCTGGGGCTCATGATTCCGGAACCTCCCTATGCCCCGGTCCCCGTGGTCCCCGTTCGTTCAAAGTTCGGAGCCAGTGGCCCCGCTTCCCGCCTCTCCCGCTTACCTGCCCTCTAGCTCCGCCCCTGCCTCAGACAGACTCCTCCTTCCCTCCCAGGGAGCTCCTCCCACCCTGAGCCCTGAACTCACTGCCATGCTGGGGCTGGACTTGGTCAAGTACACCACGGTAGGGTAGAACTGGTGCTTGAGGTAGTAGGCGTGAGCCACGACGGCCCCGGTCAGCGCCAGGCTGGCCGCCATCATCACTGCGGTGCGGAACATCGCTCCGGCCTGGAGGACCTGCGTGGGGACAGGGAGAGAAGAACCTGCGTGATGCGCACACTGCGCAAACCCAGCACAGCGCCTACCGCGCGCTGTCACTAAACGCGCGCGCGAGAAGACCCCCCCCACCTCTCCTTCACTATCATGACGTCAAGCAGAGCACAAGTCCCCCCCCGCCCCCCATTTTACAAACAAGAAAATGGAGGCTCAAAGGGGGTTAAGCGATCAGACTGACGCACGTCTTGGAGCCTAGAGCCTGGGTCAGTTTTGTCTCAAATCTAGGGCTCTTTCTGCGCCGCCTGCCAAGCCACCGCCTCCAGGGAGGCAAGGGGACAGGCAAACGTGTTGCAGGAGGGAGAACGGCTACCCCGGGCTCTACCGCGAGGGTGATGGGGGAGATGCAAACGCAGAAGTCTCCAGAAGCGGTTACGTGCCGCCTGGCCTGGGAGAAGCCAGGCGCTGGGGGGCGCAGCCGGGCAGGCGACAGCGCCGGTGACAGCTCGGCCCGGGTGCGCAACCCCGCGGCGCGCCCCGCGGGAGCGGGCGGGATACGTCAGCCTGGAACCCCGGCGTCCCCCAACCCCCGGGGCAATGCCCACTCGGGGCACCGGAGAAACGGCCGACCGGAGGGATGCAGCGGCGGCACGGCCAGGGACCCGGGGCGCCCCCGCACCTGTAAGCGCCGGGAGCCGCGAACGTCGCAGGTGGGGCCCAGACTCCGGAGAGCGGCCGCGCGGGCGCCTGAGGTCTACCGCCAGCTGACAAGCCGCAAGCGGGGCTGAGGGGGCGCGCCGACCCCGGAGACCGCAAGGGGAGGGCCCAGGTCCCGACTCCAACCACAACCCGGGCCCCACCCCGGCCGACTCACCCAGAGCCCAGCGCCGCGAGCCCGCTCAATCCCCGCGACTGCGGAGGCGGCCCCGGTTAACAACACTCCCCACCCCCTGCGAGCCGGAACTTCGGGGGAGAGACACCTCACTTCCGGCGGGGCGCGGCGTGGATCGTACCAAGTGCGCCCTCCCTTTGGCCGCGCCGCGCACCGTCCGTGGTGCCGGCAGCGGTAGTGCCACCGGTGTATCTAGGCTTGGTGCTCACGGCCGGAGCGAGAGACGCGAGAGGTGGTCGGAGCGGAATGGGACAACCCGGGAGGTGGCTGGAGTCCCCCCATGTGTTCGTGAAAGATGGTATCGCCTCCTCCGCTGAGTGTACTCCACCGAGCGGAGGGCTCGGGCTCTCCGAGCGGCTGGGAGGCGGGGCTTCGCGCGGGCCGTACCACTTGGAAGGGGGAGTGTGCAAGGGGCAAGCACGACGGGCTTAAGAGAAAGAAAATGTTCTAGAGTCTCATTCCGGAAGATTTCACAACAGGTTCACAAATAAGATGCTTCCCTGGAGAACTGGGTTCAGAAAAGAAAAATTTGCTTCTCGGCGATCACCCCCAAATTGTGTGGGAGTGAGTTGGGTCCCCGTGGCTGCTACTAATTGGCCTAGATAGAGTTACGCGGACCAATAAAAGGAAAGACCTTTGCGGGCCTGGGGAGAGAGAAAAGCAGGTGAGCCGTTGCTAGGGACGGGAGGCAGCGTTGCCTAGGGCTGGGGCCAACCCCAGTGGGCGGACAGCTGGCGGGGTTGGCTGGGGGGTAGCGCTGGCCGTGGGCGGGTGATCTATGTCTGCCCAGCGGGAACGTTTGCTGCGCCACGGAAGGGAGGGGCAGCCTGGTGTGTCTGCGACTAAGAAGGCAGACCTTTAATTCCGGCTAATCTGGGGATAGTGTTCAGAGGATAGTGTTCAGGATTGACTTCAGCTTCCCGCTGCCTACAGCTTTGCTCTCCTTCTGTTGTTCAGCCCCGGGCCGTAAGCGCAGCTACTCTTGAACTTGGGCTGCGCAGTATTTCAGTTTGTGTCGCAGTCGCAGCCAACGCGGTCAGCTCGTTGACAGAATGAAGCCGATACACCCAGTTCGTGCCTTGCGTTGTCCTCCGTCTCACTTAACACTCAGTCACCAAAGTTTATGAGCTAGGAGGTGCGATACTCATTTTGGACGTGGGACAGTTGAGGTGCAGAGATTTAACAAGACCTGCCGGATTGGCATCGGGTCTGACTCTAGATCCCGTGCGGTTGGCCTCATCACCTTCTCCACCTCCAAAACTGGCCTGACCAACTTAGCTGTCACCGAGTTGGCTCCCCCATGGGGCCATCTGTTACTTTCTAGGGACTAAAACCAGTGGTCAGCTTTCAGTTCTTGCCTGACTCGATCTCTTTCCTCTTCTAAAGAGTCTCCTCCCTCAGCTTCTGTGATCCCACAGGCCTCTGCTTTTCTCTCTGGCCAGACATCTGCTCCTTTCCTCCGTCTATCCTTTTATTTAAATGTCAGTGTCCACGTGGGCCCCTTCTGTTTGTTTTGTGTACATAATGCCCTCTGCTCCTGTGGATTCCGTACCCCCACCCAAGTGCTGATGACTCCCGTGGCTGGTCTTCAGCTGGAATTTCTCCTGCCTTTAAAACACTTCAGTGCCCCTAGTCGTCTCCCACCCCAGCCCCGGAAGCATAGGCATCTTGTTCCCCTGTCCCTTTCCATCTGTCCCCACATCCCAACTGGTAAATAAGTCTTTTATTCCATCGTCTACAACTGTGTGTCAGATGCAGCCTGTTCTAGGAACTTAGGATGTCGCCGAACAAAACAGATTTCTCTGCCTTTGTGATATTTTATCCTAGTAGATGTGCTAGATGATAAACAGTACCCATGATGTAAGTGAATTCCCTACTATGTTGGGAGGTAATAAGTGATTCATGCTACAGGCAAAAAGAGAACAAAAGGGGGTCAGGGTGTGGTAGGGTGCTTGAAGCAGGTTGCAGTATCAGTGAGAAGCGGTACAGGGACTTGAAGGAGGTAGAGAGGCGTGAGCCACGTGGATATCTGGATAAAGAGTTGCGGCTAGGTAAGAGTTGACCTGTCTTGGTTTGGATGCGAGTGTGGCTAGAGTGGAAATAGCGTAAGGGTAAGGAGGAGGAGGAGGCAGAACCAGGTGGCATTAGCCATTACAAAGACTTGGGGCGCCTGGGTGGCTTAGTCGGTTAAGCGTCCGACTTTTGCTTAGGTCATGATCTCGCGGTTCATGGGTTCGAGCCCCTCGTCGGGCTCTGTGCTGACTGCCAGCTCAGAGCCTGTTTCAGTCTGTGACTCCCTCTTTCTCTGACCCTCCCCTGCTCACGCTGTCTCCTCTCTCTCTCCTAGAAATAAATTTAAAAAAAAAAATATATATATATATATATACAAAGACTTTGGCTTTTACTCTGAGTGACATGAGGAGCCGTTGGAGGGCACTGAGAAGAGGTGTGACGTGCTCTACTTAGGTCCAGAAGGATTACTCTAGCACCTGTGCTATCGAATGGAATGGAGTTGCGGGCAAAGGTGAGAGCCGGGAAACAGTTAGAAGGCTCTTACAGCGTATTACTCAAGAGGTGAAGTGCTATTGAGTCTCCCTCCAAAGTGTCTCCATTTTCATCTCCTGGTCTTAGTCTAAACCATCGTCATCTTATGCCTGGCCAAGTTTAACAGCCACCCAACTAGTCTCCTTTCCTCTTCTCTTTACTTATTTATTTATTTATTTCTAGGAGAGAGAGAGAGACAGCGTGAGCAGGGGAGGGTCAGAGAGAGAGGGAGTCACAGACTGAAACAGGCTTCAGGCTTTGAGCTGGCAGTCAGCACAGAGCTCGACGCGGGGCTCGAACCCACGAACCGCGAGATCATGACCTAAGCGAAAGTCGGAAGCTTAACCGACTAAGCCACCCAGGTGCCCCTCCTTTCCTATTCTCTACTCTTCTTTTATTGTCCCCACATGGCCAGAAAGATCTTCTGACACCTCAGCTCACATCTTGCCTCCCCTCCCCACACTCTGCCTGTCAGGCATATGCCCTGTTTGTGGGGACCCCGGATGTGTATCACACATATGAAAGAAAGTAAGACACATATTTTTACCATATCATCATATTTCTTCCAAAATTAAATAAACTCATCACAAATTAGATTTTTAATAAGTGGAGTAACAAATATAGTATATGATTCATGGGGCGCCTGGGTGGCACAGCCGGTTAAGCGTCCGACTTCAGCTCAGGTCATGATCTCACAGCTTGTGAGTTCGAGCCCCACGTTGGGCTCTGTGCTGACAGCTCAGAGCCTGGAGCCTGCTTTGGATTCTGGGTCTTCCTGTCTCTCTGCCCCTCCCCCGCTCACTGTCTGTCTCTCTCAAAAATAAGTAAACATTAAAAAATTTAAAAAAACCCAAATAATAGTATTTGATTCATGAGGTTAAGAAAACTAAAATACTGGATACAATAGCGTGTAAAATGGGGGAGAGAAAAAAATCCCCACATGTCCATTAAGCGGAGAATGGTTAGATCCATCTTATCCAATAATGTTTAATCCATTAAAAAGGCAGATTGAAAAGAATAGACACTTTCATGACTAACGATAACCAAACCAGACTACAGGGTTTGCACACAGTATCATGTCATGTCATCTACACATAGTGAAAGTTTTACTCCTTCCTCATCAGTTTGGATGCTTTGTATTCCGTCTTCTTAACCCTGTGGCCAGGGCTTCTTGAAAAAGTGGTGAGGGTGGATAGCCTTGTCCTGTTCCTGACCTAATAAATTAATTTAGTAAAGTTACAGGATAGCCACTCAATGTACAGAAGTCCACTGCATTTCTATACACCAATCATGAAGCAACCGAAAGAAATTAACAAAGCAATCCCATTTATAACTGCACCAAAAATAATAACATACCTAGGAATAGACTTAACCAAGGAAGTGAAAAACCTGTACTCTGAAGACTATGAGATGTTGATGAAAGAAATTGAAGACGATACAAATAGAAAGATCTTTCGTGCTCGGGGATTGGAGGAACAAATATTGTTAAAATGTCTGTACTACAAAGCAATCTCCAGACTTAATGCGGTCCCTGTCAAAATACCAATAGCATTCTTCGCAGGGCTAGAACAAATAATCCTAAAATATGTATGGAATCACAAAAGGCCCCAAATAGCCAAAACAATCTTGGTAAAGAAAAGCAAAGCTGGAGGTATCAGAATTCCAGATTTTAAGTTCTACTATGAGCTGTAGTAGTCAAAACAGTGTGGTACTGGCACAAAAATAGACACACAGAGGGATGTCCGGGTGGCGTGGTCCGTTAAGCATCTGACTTTGGCTCCAGTCCTCAGGGCATGATCTCACAGTTCGTGAGTTCGAGCTCCGCATCAGGCTCTCTACTGTCAGCACAGAGCCTGCTTTGGATCTTCTGTCTCTCTCTTGCTCAAAAATAAATGAACATTAAATACATGGAAAGATATCTTATATCTATGGGTTATAGGACTTAATATTGTTAGACAGTGTAGTCCCCAAGACTGATCTAAAACTTTAGCAGTCCCTGTCAAAATACCCACTGTCTTCATTGCAAAAATTGAGAAGATGATCTTCAAATTCATGTGGAAATGCATGAGACCCAGAATAGGGAAAACATTCTTGAAAAGGAAGAAGAAAGTTGGAGTACTCACACTTCCCAATTTTTAAAAAAAACTTATTACAAAGCTACAGTAATCAAGAGTATGTAGTAATCGCAAAAGGATAGACAAATAAGGCAGTGGGGTAGATTGAAAAGTCCAGAAATAAGCATATACTTTTTAAAAATGCTTTTATTTATTTCTGAGAGAGAGAGAGAGACAGCGTGAGCAGGAGAGGGTCAGAGAGAGAGGGAGTCACAGACTCTGAAACAGGCTCCAGGCTCTGAGCTATCTGTGAGCACAGAGCCCAACGCGGGGCTCGAACCCACAAACCGTGAGATCATGACCTGAGCTGAAGTCAGACGCTTAACCGACTGAGCCACCCAGGAGCCCCAAGCATATACTTTTATAGTCAATTGATTACCAACAACACAATGTAGTGGGGGGAAAGTAGTCTTGTCA